AACAGCAACCAAAGCCGGCGCACGAAGGTGCATGGTTAATGGTTGTAAGAACTGAACTGAACTGCAACCCGACGCGTGGCCACAGGCTCACTTTCCGGAATCTATGACACTTCCTTTGGTTTATCGCCTTCTCCGGATGACGACTACCCCCTGGAATTCACTCCGGTCGGAGGCGGTAGAGGAGCAGAATGGGGCGCGATTCAAACGACGTCTCGATGAGCATTTGATGAGGCGGTAGCAACTCGCGGTCAGATGAGCGGGTTTTTATCGGTACCAGGGGTTGAGAGCCTCGTACGGTCCACGGTCCTTCTGCTTTCTGTTTAAGATGAAGATGAAGAAGACATATATAACCTTGACATCCTCTTTTTTCTTACAACACCCCTGCGATATATTCATAAAATTCGGTAACGATGGGGCATAGTGTTCCGTTTTGTTTCCTTGTTCATTCATTCCGTGTTTCAGATTTTACCAATGGAGAAATATTCTTCGTAGTGATCGACAAATACCTCGGAATATTTAACGACTAGCAATGTCCGTGCACGAACTATTCCAAAGCGATTTTTCGTTCAAGTCGAATGACTCACTTGACACTCAAATAACAGCCTCGATCGATCGTGGTGATTTTCATTTGGCGATATTATCACTCTTGAGCCTGATCGTGTGGTCAATCTATATGCTCTTTTACAATTCGAGACTGATAGGTCTTGTCATCTCTGTTATACTAAGAAAGTTCCTTAAGAAAGGATACATTCGCTTCGGTATGTTGTGGTTCTCCGATTCATGTCTCAGGTTCAATATCATTTTCTATACTGAGCGGAAAGCTCATGATAAGAGATTTCGCTTTTATGACAAATGACTACACCATCCGAAGTTGTTATGCCGTCTTTGTTTTCAACTACTGGACTAGATTTGTTCCAGACCTCAAAGGTGAGTTTTTTCCTTGCAATATTCCTGTTCTATCAAAATTAAATTTACACTTCTCCCAGCAATTAAACGAACCTGGTGCATCAGTGCATCCTCATGACCCAGTTGATGGGACGAGTTTCGACCCCCCCCCCTACCTCGGCTACTGTTAATCAATGTGAAATTGGGAAACAATTACAAAAGCCGTCGGAGAGAAAAGGCGGGCCTAGGCTTGACTCGACACAGCTGAACGACAGGGGCGGAAAAAGTTACAAGGGAAGCTCAAGAGAATGAGTGAAAGACAATACAGAAAACTGGAGAAAGAGTGTGATATGATATTAATCTCATGCAAAAGGTTTTAGTCTGTTATTTTGTTTATCGAAAATGTTTTATGCGTCTCGACTTCCCAAACTTTAGGGGTATATGTGTTCTGGCGCCCTTACTGATGGATACATATCGCGTTCACTGTTTTTTACATCTGAAATTTGACTGGAAGAAAAGGGGATGTTCGTGGGCGTTTGATTCATTTCAATGGGGTCGAAGCTGCGAGTAGCAAACACGGATGAAAGATTCGTTTTTCTCTGATGCTTGACCTTTTCATACCAGATACTGTCTTCCCGCCCATTTGGGAAATGGATATGGGCACACTTGGAGTTACATTCATTGAATTCAACATCATCAACCGGGCGTCATTTTTCAAATCTTATCAGGCTACGCATTAATAGCGGTCATTGACTACTCATTTACGTTGGTATGGAAAGCCCTGATTCGGGTTTGTTATGCATAAAACTGATCGGATAGAGTGGAGGGTATCTCGAAAAACAATCTCATTACATAGTAAGGGGTGGTAGGGGTTGTGTGTTTTAGTTNGGCGTGCGTTGGATCCTATGGTCCGGCGTTCGAACCCCTCCACCATCATCCAACTTTGGTGGAAGGCAGCTTTGCTATCTTCCGGTTCAATACCACGCCTAATGTATCGGGGCGTTATTTGGCTAGTCACTCCGAGTCCCTAAGCCTAGGTTGCTGGCTTTCATTGCCGAACATCAGGCCATCGGGACTATGAGGTTAACTCCGACTGCTGTTCATCACACAGTGTTCGTTAAATGGAGTACGTTTTGTCGGTTGACATTACGGGATGAGCTTGAAAGTTTGCCTGCATTGGTTTCAAGAAGTGCATACCGTGTTCAGCAGCTTTCAAGTATCCAAGAATGGATGCAATTGAGATAGCCGGTTACTTGTTATTACTAACTTATCGTAGATAAAACCTCTTCCTCTAACTCGGATCTCTTGCAGTTTCATTCATTCAGTGAGAATGAACGAATGCCGTCCACAATAGGACAAACCCTGCTGGGGTAGTTTAGTTCAGTTAAATTTGTACAGCCACTGACCATGCACTATCGTGCGCCGGTTTTGGTTGCTATCTTTCGGCCGCCCATTTAGATGAACATTAGGAGAAAGACAGGAAAGGTTGAAAGTAGGATCGAAGAGAAAATTGATAAGTTCAGTGAACTAATGTTGCAAAGACATTGAGAAGATGCACGAACACCACTGTTTACGACACTCAACCATATCACTCAGGGCCTTTAATCATCGGTTACGATCATCTCGAGGTCCCCAGTCTGCTGGGTTAACGGCAGGTTATCCCTCCCACATCTTGGTGGTGTCAGTGCAATAGGTTGCAGGTATATTAGACTGATTACTAAGGTGAACAATAATAGATCTATTATCATTAACGGGGGTCGATGAAAAATAAATTTGAGAAATTTCGGGAGTCAGTGAAGAAGGAAGCTTTTAAAAGGATATGTGCAGTGCTATAGGATTGAGGTCTAAACGTATCACTGTTAACGCACATGTGCCCGTAGGTAATATAGAAGGACTGAAGTATAACGGTTTATTCATTGATTTATTTGTGCCTTCCGGTTTCTTCCAGGCTCTTCCGAACGCCGCTGTCTGTATGTGTATCTTTATGGCCTGGAAGTACATGTTTATAATCGTACCTCTGTGTACGATGCGCTCAGGGACTTGTTCCAAATCAAGCAGGAGAAAAGCCCGGATTCGTCTCAAATTTGCTCGTTGCGGTTTGGATCAAGAAAGAACGCAGAGGGTTTGATTTCCCATTCCGGTGGTTCAAACAAGCACCACGCTTTGGTTGAAGACGACGACGATGATGAAAATAACGCTGCTGAGTAAGTGTCAGTTACTTGTGAAAGAGAAATACTTCGCGATCAATTTTATTCTACAGCGGCATAGTGTTTCTGCTTGCCCAATGGGTGAACATCTATTTATTCAGGTTTAACTGCTGACCTTATAAAACTGTGCTGTCTGCGGTTCAGCTCTCTGTGGTAGTTCATTTGAAACTCTGAGTTATTCTGTTAAACTAACAATAGTACGCATTGGAACAAAGGAACACGAGCTATATAGAACGCCATATGGAGACACGAATCGAAGCCGTATGTCGCGCAGTGTGGTATGTATCATGGATAATAAATGCATCAACATGATAAGTGAATCAGTTATTTGCAGTTACCTGTAATCGTCCGTCCGTTCTATACAACCATTAACCTTTAACTTTCAACTGTCAGTTTTGTTTGTTGTCTTTTGACTACTCCTTTCAGTGTAAGAATATAGGGCAAAAGTAAAACGCTTCTACTTAACTCTGCAAATATAGTTCGACTGTATTATGTATCTTCCGTATCAGGGTGAAGATACATAATACGGTCGAACTATATTTGCGGATTTGAGTAGAAGCGTAACTGTCACTGCTTGCGATAGTTTTCACTCAGTCTCTGGTCACCGATTTCGCTGATTTCTAGGACCCCAACAGGAATGCCTAACTCGTCATATGTCCATGGTTTACTAGTGAGGTACCTTTCTGCGGTCTTTTGATGGTAATCCGCGCCGAAACATCGATACGTGTAGCGTAAAATCGGCTGCGGAATGAGGTCCAGTCAAGAAGCGAGCTCTCGGCCTTGAAATGGCGTAGTTTCGACACTGGCAACACCGCAAGCATAAGATATCAAACAGCCTACCACACAGCGAGTGAAGTGTGTACAGTAGGTTGCGTCTGAAGAACGTAACGTGATATCTATATGCGATGACAGTGTTTGTGGTTGCTGATAAAGAGCACTGGACAGCTGTTTCGTCCTGTTTGAGATTCGTGTTGCTCAGAAGTAAGGGTTTCAACTCCAACTCGAGGGTTCGCAGCTCGATTCTTGACAGGGACACAAAATGTGCGCACCGATGACGAGTCACCTCACGGTGTTGACAGGGGTTTCAGTCTGGCACTACGCACAAGAACCGGAAGGAGTTTACATTCAGTGTGGTGTAAGTCTTTATCCAACTGAAAAAAAACTGGTAATTTTGGTCGCTACCATTATGTTTTGTGTATCAGTTCTATTTAATGAATGGTGAATGGATATTCATTGAGATTTCTTGCATTGACCATCTTACGGTACTATGTTATACATAGGTGCACCCGGGCGGGAAATGTCTCTTCCTGATTTTGGTGTCATGTTTATTTACATTAGTATTATGCTTGTGTTGATCATGTCTATCTTCATTGTCATCTTTTGATAGTTTCCGTTTTCAAACTTCCTTTTTGTCATACTCTAAAATCATATTATAAACTTGTTTTTCTCTTTCATCAGTGATATAGTATTTGCACTCGCATTGAGTTTGTGAATCAGTTCGATGCTTGATTTTTGTTTTGCAGAGAATCCGCTCAAGGTTTTCTGGATATGTTCTGGACCCATGCTCGACGTCTCCTGCATAGTGTGAAGTTTAATCTGGAACTGGTAAGTGCGTTTTTGCGCAGATCCATCTTACGCATGTTGTGGAATTTTTAGAAGCTTAATTTGCTCTCTGTTTTGGTCACGATCTCAATTTTTTTCACAGAAAGTGATTCTGTCTGTGACACTATTCTATCGATTTTAAACGCATGATAATACGGCCCATTTATGATAATTTACGGTCAATAAACAAATGAACGAATTTTCACTAGGAACACCCGTCTGGGTTTGCGGTTTTGGTCCCTCAACAGGTGTCTACATTCAGTCCCCTTCTGTCACGGCATTCCTCTACTTGCATCCCCGATATAGATTTAGTTACTACATTGTCATTTTCATTTCAGGAAGTTGTCTTGAAAGGAGTATTCATAAATACTAGGATACTAGTAACAAATGCTTTTCTTTTCTTTTGCCTTTTCGGACAGCAGAACGTTGTCCACGTTCTATTCTATCGAGTCGTTTTTCCTCACTGGTCATATTATGCGGGCTTCTATCGATTTCATTTTGCTTGCCAAAATGAGTGCAGAAGTATCCGCTGCTATGCGCTACAATTTATCTGGGATTTTATACCTCGTTTTTCCTGTTTGGTACAGATGAAATTGTGTGCCGGGAAC